GGCCGCCGCAGCATCCCCGTCGCCGCCGTTTGCGGGGGTCCTCATCGCGGCGGCGGACCCGTCACCCCCAAAGAGATCCGTCTGACCGGCACTGAAAAGGTCTCCGGCTGCTACCGTCCCCGTCTGCGCTGCTTGCACCGATTCACCGCCAACAACACCGCCAGCGTTCTGATCGAAGAGCCCGAAGGCGCCTGCGTTCGTCGCCTGCTGCCCGCCAGTGGTACCGAGGGACGGGAAATCGGACATGAAGGGATTAGGTACGGACGCGACTGTTCCTGGGGCGCCAGCTTGCGCAGAAAGTGATCAAGGTGCATAAGTTAGCTTCCTCCTCTTTTGCGTCCGGAAGAAGTAATAATGTAAAATGTTTTGCAATTGTTATACCGTCACCGGTTAATACGTTAATTAAAGAGAAAAAAAAGAAATATTCAAATACAATGTTAACGCAATGTAGCTCGGTTGCATTCTTTTATAATGTCGCGCATCAACGTTGCACTTGAAGAATGTATCGAATAATCAGCGCTTATTAATAGCCACAATATGAAAGGAAAAAATAAAAAAATAAAGTAAATTATCATTGGCAGTGTTCAAGAGAATGTTTATTTTGCAATGATTTGAAGTTTTCATCGCTAAGATAGGACTATTCCTTTGAATCTAAAAATACAATCAAATTAGCACGAAGACAACTTCCAATAGTTGCAAAATAAACATTCTGCTAAACACGGCCACTATTATTATTGTGTATGGCAACAAAATTGCTTTTGTAGCTATAAACGCTGTTTATAAACGCTGTTTATAAACGCTGTTTATAAACGCTGTTTATAAACGCTGTTTATAAACGCTGCTTCATCCGGTACATCTTTGCCCATAGCGTTAAACAGCAAGTGTGATTGCTCAGGCGTACTAAGTATCTAAAAAATGTATAAGATGTATGATGCAAAAGTATCATAAAAATGGCCGCAAAAGTTCTACGAGAGAAAGAAGAAGAGAAATGTATAAAGACTGACAGAGAAAAAGAAAACGCGAAAGTAAACGGAATTCTTCAATTGTGTGAATGTGCGCTCATATAATATAATTCCGTCTTATGTCTACTTCGCTAGTGAAGCACTTACTGGATTGTTGATCTTGGTTTCCGAATACGGAGGAAAAACTATTATCTGTAACAAAGTTATTATTTGCTGGTGGCGCAGTTGGCGCGAAACCTAAAAGAAAAAAAAAATGGAAAAATGAAAGAAAATGAATTAAAATAAAAGGGAGAAAAATATCATAAACAAGCGCGGTGACGAGAGAAGCAGCGATGATCACTGAGACTATATCGATTTTTAGATGCTCGTGCTCACCAGTACCGTTGGTCATCCACATGTTGTTCTGCATCTGAGCGGCAGGTTGCGTCGTTCCTGTAGCTGGTTGCGCTCCGAACATGTTCGCGAACGGATTGCCCGCCAATTGCAGTAGATCATCCGATGCCTTTTGGGATGACTGTTGTTACAACAATTAATTAGCTCGCTTCAAATGGAATCACAACTCTTACACAGGTCTGTTCTTTTCGGTTGAACTTCTTGTATTATTCGTCTTTCATTCTTTTCTCTTCATTGTAGAAAAAAAAAGAGAAAAGATGAACAATGCAAAAAATTCAATTGAAAAGAACCACTTGTCAAATGAAAGATATAGACGTACCTGGCTCTCGGCTGTTGCACCGAACAAGTCCACAATCGGTTGATTAGCATTATTGGTCGGCGAACTGAGGAAGGGATTCGTGCTAGTACTTGACGGCGATTGTACTTTTGCCTGCAACATATACATTAGAAATTAATATAATGTTTATATGCAGAGAATCGCAATGGAAGAAGAAATTGAAATGAAACAAACGAATATTGAAATATCTGAAACTTAAATAGAAAATTAATAGAATATAGCATCGCAATCTGAAATTCCTCCATCTGTCAAAGCTTCGTTTTTCATCTTAATTTATAATTAGTAATACTTTGCAAATTAATACCTTGTATTGATTCATGGCGGCTTCCTCTTCCGCGAGAGCTTGCTGTCGCAACGCCTCGTCGATATGGCCGTTCCCAGTTTGCTCGAGCCGCGCATTGCTGGCTGCTGTTCCGAACGCGTTACTGGTGGAAGACAGGGCGGACACTCCCGACTTTACATTGGTTCTATTGCTGCTTTTGGGCGATGATAGGATGTTGTGGTGTTGATGGATGGAGAAAAGAGGATGGACAAGAAGAATACGGAAGGTCCGTTTCAGCGAGTTCGTAAAATGTGGCGAGAGAGAGAAAGGAGCGTAAAGGAAAATTGATAATTGAAAACAAAGGAGAAGAGACAAACAAAAAAACAAAAAACAAACGGTGTAGTACGTATAGATGTAACAATGCGTAAAAATGCATAGTGTGCATTACCACTCGCACGCTCGCATGCATCCTTTCTCTTTTTCGCGCGCACATACACACTCTTTTTCTCTCTTCTTTCTCACACGCTCTCGCTCTTTTTTTACATTTCTTTTTTTTTTTACTAAATTTCCTAATATACATATATGCATTTACAGGTGTTCTACATTTTGTAGTGAAACATGGCGTCAAGCTTGTGTATACTCAAACAAATTGTATTAAGTCTGCGGCACACGATGCTTGTTTTCTTGCTGGATTCCTAGTTGGATTAGAATCTTGCCATTGTATTGGCTGCGGTACTGACAGTATCAGCATCGTAGTCAATACAGTGGCAAGAATTTATTCTAGCTAGTAACAAGAAAACAAGCATCATGTGCCGCCGGCTTTACACAGTACACATTGATTTAGAGACTGTTCATTTTTCAATTGCATACTATAAGTATGGTGAATTTACTACGATAATAAGCGATTTGTACAGATAAATATATGTGCATTGAAACGTTATTATTTTTTAACACTGATTGTGTACTTCAATGAGTTAAATATTTATTACAATAAATGCCATTTCATATCCAACAAATTTTACTATTATAGCCACATCAATTAACATTATTCGTTATTAATTTTTAGGCAATAAAATTAAATCGTCAATATTATTAATTTCAATTGACGATTTATTATAGCATGCTTGGTATCCACTATAATCAATAGACTATAGGGAAACACGTCAATTATCTAAATACATTATCGTAAATTCATGCAGTATACAAGAGCGATAGATTGAATAGCGCAATAATTATATTTACAGAGTTTCAGTGAGAAACACACACACATATACATAAAAATTGAATACCAAATTTAGGAGCATAGCATGGATACCTAAAATAGGTCAGGATACAAACGTAAATTGAATATTCTATAACTAAATATTAAATATCAGAGAAAATTATAACCTTGTATTCAGGGGATACCATCTCGACAAATTTTACAAGTTGGATAACTATTCAAAAAGAGAATATATCCAAAGATAGTGCTTAAGATTACTATCTTCCAAAACCTTGTGTTATTTGTTTAAGAAAAATAAAAGTGACGGTATTTTTATGAATATAAAATGATCAATGATCAACTTATCGTATTCGAAATAAAGGAACGCAATCCTTTGTCATAATTGTTACATGTGCATGTGCGATAAACGTAATATTTAAATACTCATAGCTTAAGAAGCTTGTAAAGATGTGTAGAAGAACGTGTCTTTGATTATCGGGTATGAAAGAACAATGAGACGAAAACGATGGACTTTTTGGGAAGTATATAGAGAGGGAGATTAAGTATATCGATTTCAATAGCATTCAACATAGGAAATTTAAAATTATCCCTACATCGATTGTTATATGAGATTTAAATGAGTCGAATAAATGGAAAAAGTCGGCATACCTTGCTGACTGCGTTGGCGTGTTCGCAGCGGAGCCCTTCTTTCCTTCCAAGGAAGCGAGATGTTGTTCTAAGGCATCCAATAAACTACTCGGTGCCTAAAAAAAAATCGATTTTTCCATTATTTACAGAACATTATTAAAGTTTTCCAGTTAAGTGCAAAGTAAAATTTAGCTGTGCATATTTAGTCTAGAAGAGATTTCTCTCCGCTAAAATACATGCATTTATTTAGGAGAATTTGTCACCTTCATCTACTCTTTTTAATGCGCGCGTATTAAAAAACATAATAAAAAAACTACAGTGTAATTGGCTCACAAAATCTCCCAAAATAAATATCGCCCAATTACTTATGCTGCTCTAGACTATACCACACTAACTCTACCTCATTAAATAATATAATCAGAGATGTTATTACCTGTCAGTAATGTAAGAGGAAGAAACAAATGAAAATATTATCATACTTTATCTGTTAAATATTAGTTTTTTCGCTCACTCATTGTTAACAGTTCCTCAAACCGATAATTAAATATAGACAATTGAACAAACTTTTATTCTAAACAGTATAGCGAGATAGCGAGATAATAAACAGTACTTTAAGCAAACATACCTTTGTCAGATCTGGTATGTCTCCTTTATCGATACCAACATTCTGTAAAAGAAAGAAACATGTTCAGTGACTATCTTCAATATCATTGATTGCTTTCACATACAGATCGTAACTTACTTCCGCAACTTTCAGAAATTCCCCGACCCTGTCCATGCGTATAAGGAACTTCTTGTAAAGATCTAAAGCATCCCGACATTGTTTCTTGTTCATGTCGAAATATTTCTCTGGAAGGTTACCGTAATCGTCCGATTAATTGATCCATTCTCTTTGAATATGTACTTCTTGTGCGATAAAAAAAAGAGACTATTAAATAGCGTTACCTAACAAATTAATGATGCCATCATTATAGCAGGCGAATAATCGGATAAGATCTCGAAAGAGGAGCATGAAGGCCATGTTTATGACGCCATTCGTAAGGTCGTTAGCCGTGCAATCAAATTCCAGCAGTGCGTCAAGTTGCGACTGCAGTACCGGCAAAGTTTTCAGAAGTTTCTCGGAAATGTCAATTACGCAACGAAGGTTAATTCTCTCATTAAATACAGCGAGATAAAATTTTGAGGTCTAGAAAAAAATGTTCTCAACACGTACCCTCTTTTCACTTTGCAAAAGTCGAACGCTACCGTCCTGTAGGAGAGAGCTTTCTCGTTGAGATATTTGGCGTAGCGCCTGATGAAGGGCGACATGTCATATCCTGATCCACAGAACAGAACGACAATTACTCATTTGTATTCAAAATAAATACCATAGACACAACAAAAGCACTAATAGGCATCGCCACGCAACAATGCGTAAAAGTGAAATTAGAAAGTCGGCAGTGCGCCGGTGCGATTGCATTAATTTCATAAAGTTACACAAGCGTGCAGCGCCGATTGGAAACTGTAATTTTGTCAAACATCTTGTAAGCCTAATCATATATTTATAGTATTTGGTTGTAATTATCAATACACATCAATTGGTACATATGTACATAAATTAACAATTAGGTTCACAAAGTGTACATTAATTTCTTTTATTCTCGCGAAGTTAGAAATGAACACATATATAGAACTACGAAGCATGGTTAATGAGTACCATTAATAGTAAAACGAGAAGGACGTTTGTGATTATATAGAACTCACCCACGCGTATTCCTGCTTCATGCCCAAAGAGATAGAAAGTTAGTCCAGGTTAGTAAATCGTACACATAGATGCCATAGATATATGGAAAAGAGAAAGATTTGCATTTCCCATATGGATAATAGCTACACAATGCGAGAAAATCAGTAGCACGGAAACTTTTTAAAAGATTTATAATTGGAACAGAGGAGTATCGTTTTGTATCGTTTAAACAATAATTGCTATCGATTGATGTAACATTCAATTAACATTACGCTTAACGATCTCCAATTAGTGAATAAAATTAGGTCTCCTGTAAACAAGTTCTCGACGTAGAATCGAGGTGTCCGCGATCGGCTATTCAAATTACGGCGTGTTGCAATTTTCCGTGCGACGCGTGCATATCAAATCAGCTCGCTCGATTATCGACATTCGAGTCTTCTGATGACTGAATGTCGTCTACAATTTTTTTAGGCGGGAGTGCGGAAAGCCGTGCACAACGATGTTGCGATGAGTTCATATCGCAATGGTTTTGTTAATATGCAAAATGAATGTTAATCTTCTTAAATTAATCACATTTTCAAATTTGGTTTAAAAGATTAGTTTTTTTAAATCCGACACCTTATTTTCATTACAGAATTTAAAGAATAATTATCCTTTGTAAAAAAAATATTTAAAATTTTTAAGAAGGTGTTTATATTTATTTGTAACTTTATCTCGTTTTAAAATGATAATTCTTCTTTTATAAGTTAAATTTACGAGATGCCAACAAATGACATAACATTGTTCATTCTACACTGAGAAAAATGTTTGATATTGTCACTATAATTGTATGATAAAATAATGATGAATGAGAAATTCGTTTTTATAGTCATTACTGTTATATTACGTTCAGTAGAAAAAACAACTTTGCAACTGTTGTGAGATTCTTTAATATAAATAGTTCTTGCCTTCAAAATTCTTCACTAAATATAACCAATTATATTAAAGAATCTTACAACAGCAGTTGCAAAGCTACTTTTTCTGCTAAGCGCGTCATTGTTAGTAATAATAATTATGTTTATAGTTCTACCATAAAGGCACCAAAAATGACTGTAAATTATAGTTAAATTATGATAATTACAACATTTTTTCTCTTAGTGCAAATTTCATAAAGGCTAATGCTTGGTATCGTTGGCGTCCGTCAATTCTGGAACATATTATGGTATCCCGAGGAGAACGCAAAGCCTCGCTAATACGATCATTTACAAAATAATCACCTTGTACGCCGCTCTTGTCGAGGAAATTGTTGAGTTGAAACGTGCTGTTGCTGGACGCGAGATACTGCGTGAACCTCTGTAAATAAAAAAGTCATTTCAGAAGGATATACGGAATGTCTCGCAGATCAGACCAGCGCCCGAAAGGTAATTACCTCGTTGCCATAGCACATCATGTGATGCACGGTGATCAGGGCCTTAAAGACTACCGTCCAGTTTGTATTCTGTGAGCGTTCTATCAGAAGATTAGCGAGCTGCGGTATGGAGACATTCGGTTCATTGGTGCAATGAATTAAATCTGAAACAAAAGAGAAAGAGTTTACTTTTGGCGAGTCCACGTCCATCTTAAAAATATTTTTTCCGGAGATAAGGATGCGATTTCCATGTGTGTGATTTCAACTTTGAGAGGAAACGACATGCAGATACAATGCAAAACTTCGCGTCCAGTACAAGCCACAATGAGAGGCACTGACCTCCACCTTATAAGATTACAACGTAATTTACATATGTATGATTCACAGCCATCACTGGCGACAACGCTATCGTATTGTGAGAATCTCTCGTAAACGCGTCATTTCCCCTTACCTCGGATTTCAAGTCACGATTACGGTAAACACTTCTCTCTCACGTATCTCTTTTCTATCACTGTTAAATTCATAATACATTCATTATACCCAATTTGAAATTATGAATTTACGTTTATAAATATGTTTCTACTGAAAGTTGAATAATTTTTTTTAGGTTGCCACTGCTCCTATTCAATATGTCGTCAACTTAATTAAAACAATGAAGTTAAACAATTAACTAATAAAATATATTAATCCAAATTTAGTTTGTTATTTTTAGTAAGTACATACGTTAATATAAACGTTGTTTACTTTGAAATTAAGCAATTCAACCAGAGAAATTAATTAATTTACATTTTGATACACATGGAATAACAAAATGTTATTTAATTCAAGGAATTGGGTTAGCTTTGCTCCTTTGATATTTAACAATGTATACATGTCCGTTAGTACAATATGCAATTATATACATGAAAGTGCGAGGTAAAAGCGAATTAATCTTGAATCGTGAGTACAACAAAACAACAGCTGCCTAGCATAACACATTAAGTGTAATTAAGTCATTAATTAGAATCATCGACCGCCTTTTATCTCGACTCGATTTGAATTCTGAGCGTAAGGCGAACAAAAAGGTATCATGGCAAGTAAAAGACTCAGTGCAGACGGATGTAACTATGGTGAAGTGGACCAACTGATTCAGTGACTCGAAAATGAAAGAAAGAAAATATGCGGCGGAATAATTTTAATTGTTCTAGCAATTTTAATTGTGTTTAAATATGTTCCAGTAATTATTCAATATTTTAGTTAAAAAATTGATGTAGATATAGCATTTGTTGTGAATTATCTTTTGTTTCAAGAATCCTTTAAATTTATATATAATGTTGATAATTAATAAGAAACAATATAAGTAAAAGAATTTCAGATTAATGAAAGAAATATTAGCATCTATTTTAATACTTTTAGCTGTATATATGACGATATAATTTTATAATTTTTAAATAAAAGTTTTCTCATTTACATTACTTATTTTTTAATAACGTGCCTATTTCCTATTGGAATAATTTTTAATTCAAATTCTAAATCGCTGTCAAACTTTTTGTATTATTTTCACAAATATAATATTAAAAAATCGATAATTTTTTCATAATTTTTTCATTTCGTTAAAAAATACATGTAGTACGTTCTTAATTTATAATCGCAAAATATCCAGGTAAACCATTTTTTTTTTTAAAGATGGAAAGTCCAGCTGCAGTTTTCAGATGATTCAGACATTTAAAGATGATTCAAAAGACTCGTATGATTCAGTATTCGCATAATTATCATCGTCATTTTTCATACTTCGTATTTTATCAATACGTATTTTATCAAACATATGCGTAGCATACCAAGCGATTTAATAATCACGATTCATGATCTTTATTTTTAATTACGATTGTAGCTTATTGCCGCAGCAATTAATCTCAAAAGCAAATAACACGCTTGATAAGCGTGGAAGAATTACAATAATTAACAGAAGAATTTAATATCTTTAATTCATAATATAATTTCATTGAATTGTCATGCACAGGCGTGACCCAGCATGATAAACCACGATAACCCACAGAAAACTTAAAAATAAAAAATCAAAGAAAAACACTATATTTTGATCGCGCACATTCAAATTGAATAATGTAAATTCCCTTTTAATTTATTTACAACATGTAAAATGAGAAAGAGATATTCCACCTTATTAATTATACAATTCTACTTTAAAATACGGATTGTATTTACGACACATAAAATGAGATATTTTATCTTATTAATTATACAATTCTATCCTAAAATATGTGTCGTCTAAGAACAGGTGAAAATTCGATATTTGGAACTTCGTCATGCCTGTACCTAAAAATGGGAATATCCGATGCTATCGATCACCGTGGCACAACGGTGACTCTGACCTGCATGTACCGAACTCGAGGCTCGCCGAAACGTGTCGCGAACCTAGCAGATGAAGCTAACGTGACGATAAAGTCAATCGCCACACGATGACGACGACGACGAAGTGAACGACGGCAATCTATGCAACAATCGCGATTGATTAACGAAAGTAGCGATCCACATCAGAAGGACGGCGATACCGTATAACAAAGTTAACAATCATGTTACCATGCGGTTTCAAACGTGACAATATTCGGTGTCATTATTGACACGGTGATTCATATTATTCGTCGGTTACGAATTTGATACACGGTTGCTATAGGCGTATATTAAGATGCAAAACATATCGTTTTCTTTCAAACATCGCTTGATCAAGCAGAAATTTTCAGATAAATTAGAAACATATGTATTTAATATACGTGACTTTTAAAAATTTCCTGCCAACATATAATTTTACGACAATTTTTCAATTTATACGGAAAGAATGCTGAACCATCTGAAAATTTAATTAGATACAGATCTGAAAATAATTTTGTTAAACTATCAAAATATTACATAGGAATTTCAAGCATGATAAACAAAAAGTTTTAACATTCTAGATGTTGCAAAAAGTTTTAACATTCTAGCAACAGTTTGAATGTCCTGCATAATTATTTTGATAGCCCAATAAAATTATTTTCAGATCTGTGTGTGTGTGTGTATCTAGCTAAATTTTTTAAATACTTCAACAAAATCTTTCCGCAGTATAAGTTAATAAAATTCTTGTTATAATCAACTTAAAAATAAATTTTAAATACTAGAATACATATTAAATTGGAACAAAAATTTGTAACGTTACTTCATTTGTAATGTATCTGTATCTGTTCTTAAAAAAAAATTTGGCAATTACATCATTCGATAGAGTAACGTTTCAGCTTTAGAATCCTTGCGATACAATGATTTTTAACAAAATTACGAGCAATCAAAGTCAAAATGCTCCTTTTATTTAATTCACGATAACTCGATAACAACAAATCTTAGAAACATTTTTAAAAACTTTGTAGGAAAAACTGTAGGCTTTTACGTTAGAAAGTTGAAAATTTCCACAAGTTATTTTTGAGCACGCGACCACAAAATGAGAAGAAAATTTCCCATTTTGTCCAGTTCTAATTTCCTCTCTCTATATGTAAAAATAATCAAATTCATAGAAACTCAAGAGGTGGCTTCTCGAAAGTAGAGATTTTAAGCTTTAAAACTCTCTTTTTTAATTTAAACTTCGTTCATTTTTAATGAAATTACAACTGCTGAAATTTTGAAGTTCATAGCGCTACAAATTTTTATTCCAAACCCATTATGTTCAATACCTGTATACTAAATCTGTATCTATAAAGATTCTTTATCTGAGTAATTCAATACGAATTCTTATCAACCTGCGATAGTCTGTATTGAAACTAAAATCATGTCCGTTCACAATTGTACGATATCGTAACTCATATCGCGCTTGTTCATAATTTGCTGAGCATCTTGACTACGCACTGGAGAGGCCACGTTTATTTGACCGATGGCGAAAAAGACGGGGAGTTAAGCAATGCTTCGTCGCGGATAGTTTCCCACGCCTTTAATGTATCTCTCGCCCGACCGACCGATGATCCCGCAATATCGAAGTCACGACGAGAGGGCTTGAAATGAAAGTGCAACGCGAGAGCGAGCGTACGAAGGGGCACCGAATAAACGCGAATGAAGCAGTGAATCAGCACCAAGTATTGAAGCCCAGCTATTCTACGAACTGCAATATTTCCATGTATGATTATCGCGCGCGATAAATCTATTCGACGTTATCGCGAGATGCTTCTCTAATTGGCGCGAAAAGCGATCTTGCAAACAAAAATGTATAATTATTTATACGTGATAATTATCCGCCCATTAATTTAAGGTTCCAGAGATAGGAGAAAAACGAGAAATTAAAATTTACAATTATTCTTTCAATAATTCTTCAAATTATTTTATTTTCTTCTACACTGTGTGTAAATTCATGATGTCGAATTATATAAAATTTGAGTTATTTTTAACTATTTCTATGCAGTTCATCACTGTTCCTCAATATGTCGTTAACTTAAGTAAACCAATGGTATTAAATAATTTAAGAGAATTAACTGAAGAAAAAGTATTAAATTTTACTCAAAATTAGTTTATTATTTGCTAAATGCACACGTCAATATATAAACGTTGTTTATATTAAAGATAATTACAGAAATGAATTGATTTACATTTCGACACATGAAAGTTGAAAATAACAAAATGTTATTTAACTCAAGGGATTGGGTGGGCACTGCTCCTTTGATATCTAAAAATATAATAGACCGCTTAATATGGAAAACAAGAGTAATAAAAAATAAATGAGCGTATAATTAAATACAAAAGGTAAATAAAGATGAAGAAAGTAAGGTTCGTGCAATTTGGGAATTTAACAACTCATTTCAACTGTAAACAAAAAACCGCGCAAGTTCAAGCAGTTAATGAAGACATTTTACAAGGCATTACTGTGTTAAACGAAAATTACAGTCCGTATCAAACGCAAAAGGTGCATGAGCGATCGCAATGAATAAACGTGATCTCTCTCGAGCAGCATGTTGTTCGACCTTGCGAGGCTTCCCATTCTAATTATAATCTCCCAAACACGGACGGATTTAGCGGCGTCCGCATCATTGTTGAGTGTCAAAATGCAGACACGTTCATTCAAAAACATCCGATTCATGAAAAACGGGATGCATACCGATTTTTATGGCTTCGATGCGCGCATAAAATTAAACTCATTATGTCAAATTATATCCTGTTT